GAAAAGAAAATGTATACAGAAATAGAGGAAGGTAAAAGCTCAGAGGCAAAGGGTAGACAGAATAATTTAAGAGAAGCTGGCTAAAAACAAGCCAAACTAAGGCCAGACATTCATAAGTAAGAATAAGCCTTCATGTATTTATTTGGGAGTTGGGTGGTGGGCCCCCAAAGAGTAAAAAAATGCCAGCTATGTATTATAACATGAGATTAGTAAGGTGTTAGATGGAGTGATGATGCTCCTCACTCCATCTAACCCACTCTGAGTCATACTCATGGGTAAAGGAAATACAGTGCAGGGGTGTCAACCAGTGGCTACAGAGCTCACTCAGCTTTGCTGTTCTGGGGTGTAACATTGAGTACATTTAGATAGTGCATTATATCTCCCAAATTAGAAGAGAAGACTTAGGATGTGCTCACCATGAAGAAATGACGAAACTTAATGTGGTAGACATGCTCACTACACTTGAAAAATCACCAATGCATAACAAGAATCAAAACAGCACATTTTGTCTCATATATACGTATGAATACTATGTCAACAGTTTTTTTTCAAAGCAAAATATGCATAGACAAATTAGATAAAGGTTTTCATAAAAACGTATCTGCCCACTAGTGTTTTCAATTCAAGAATTTTTATTTAGGGGCTGGAGAGATGACTCAGTGGTTTAGAGAATTTTGCTTCACCTACATAGCAGCTTATAATCATCTGTAACTCGAGTTACAGGGGATCCAACACCCTCTTCTGACTCTGGTGAGACTGATCGCACATGTGATGAACATACACGCATGCAGACAAAACACTCACACATGTACAATAAAATAAGTCTTTAAAAAGTACTAATTAATTTTGAAACATTTGTGATTGTTATTCTAATTTAAATATGACTAGATTTTCCATGGTTTCAGCTGTAACAAGATAAATGCCAACTATTTGGAAATATATACTATAGCATACCATAAGTTTATAAATTTCATATCCTATTCCTTGATAATTCTAAAAAAAAAGTAAAATGAAATCTCAAAAAAATATTTCTCCATTGTAGATAGAACTTAAAAAAATGGTGAACTGATAAAATAATAAAAAGACTTTAAAAAAAAAAAGCGGCAGGAAGGAAATTTCTGAGTGTTTTCCGTCTTTGAAATGGTGACTGTAAGAGTGGACAAAATCATCAAAATTGGTTGACTGGGAACTTAAGACCATTCTCACTGCCCTTTCCCACATGTTCATCATGAGCACACAGGAAATCTACTCTGCAATGTTCAAGCGTGCACAGCTGCTGTTATTGTCTGTGTTTCATGCTCTCCCTCACAGCTCTTGGCCTTCTATCTATTTGTACCCTCTGACCAGTGACTTCCTGATCTCCCTGGCCCCCAGCACCTAGTCACCACCCTTCTGGTTTGCTTCTGGACATTCAACATTTCTAGATGTCGCGTGTAAGTGAGATTATGTGATATTTGACATTCAGCACCTGGTTTATTTAACATAGATCTTCTTGGTTCCCACGAGTTGTTGTAAATGACATGATTTCTCTTTTTAAGGCTGACTGTTCATTCATGGTGTATAATGCTCCATTTTTTTAAAATCCATTTATCATTACTAGATACTTTGATTCTATATCTTGGCTATCGTGAATATGGTAGTATCTTGGACCTATTAATTTTCTTACCCAACAGTGGGTGTATTTTACCTTTTATGTTTATGATTCCTTTAGAGCTTTTAATTGTCTATGAAAACCTCCAATCTCATAAGTGCTTACGGTCTTCCAGAGTAAACTTCATATCTATAGTTTCTATTATTGCCATTCTGTGCTATTGTCTTTTTAAATGACCACAGGGTTTAGTCTTCTTTCATCCATGTTGCCAGCGGATTCAGTCAAACTGTCGCTTCCTTCCAGATTATCAAGACAAGCCTTCAGCAAGACCCCACCAGATATGTGACCCTTGGGTGACCTCCTGGATCCCCATGGAAGTCTGATTCAGGCAGGGTGATCTGTCACAGCAGTGCCTGCAGTCTGCTGATTAGTTTGTCTGTCTCCCTAATCAGATACAAGCGTATTTAATTCCTGTAACCACATCTTAAGACAGTGTGTTGATCTGTTTACTAAGACTCAAACGTATTTACCAGCTCAGAAATTTAATATGGGGGGAAATGTCTACCATTTTACACTCTGTTTGGTTCATTTTAATCTCCTATTAGTGTCTTGGGAAGTTTTCGTCATTGCTAGCCCCAAAAGCAGCATATGAAACAGAGCAAACTCTATTCACAACTAATAAAAGGAGAAAAATCCAGGAATCTCAGCTGTTTTTAAAGTCACTGTAGCAAATCAACTATACAAAGCACAGGAGATGAAAGAAAAAGAAAGTGGGGAAAGATAAGTCGGTCTGAGAAGACAATGAAATAGGAAATAGAGTTCTCTACTCAAGCTTTCCAAAGGAGACCAGAAGGAGCTGATATGACAGTAACCCTGGTATTGTACTTCACACCAAGCCGTAAACGTCCTGAGCAGAGCTGGGTGTAGTTCAGTAGTAGAGCCTTGGCCTAGACTATGGGTCATGGATTCACTTCCCCTCAGTCCCCCCAAAAAAGTTCTGGGTAGTGAAATGTGAGCTGGCTAAGTGGTTTATGGAGCCCCAATACCATCTCTTACACTCATGGAATCACAGATATCCTGTATGAGACTGGCCCTTCATCATTCCATCATGGTGGAGACTGAGCTCATTAACCCCACCCTCCCCTGAGAAGCCATTGGCAGCTACTTGAGAAAGGGGAGTCCTTTTCTTCAGTGAGGTAGCCACTAGTTAATCGCCCATCAGTAAATAACTCCCCACCCCTGCTCCTGTAAGCGATGCTAATTAAACTCAGTGGGTCCTACACACACACACACACACACACACACACACACACACACACACACACACACGATTAAAGTAGGGGTCCTGCTGGGAAGAAGAGGGTTCAGTAGGAGGGGAGGGGATGAGAGGGCAATGAGAGGGTGCGTATAATCTGATCAAAATACATTATATACATGTACAAAGCTGTCAAAATTAAAATTTTAGATACACTTAAAAAACAAGGAAATGTTCTGTCTTTTGCTATAAAAACATTAACAATAAGCATATGTTATGAAGTTTAAAAGGAAAACAAAATAGAAACCCACCACCACCACCAAGTTTGATGATTAAAATCCACATGGATTTTAGAGTTGAAATCCAACTGTATGAAAGGTTGCAGCAAATCCAGGCCCTTGGCTCTGTCAGCTAAGCATAGCTCACAGAATCGTGAGTCAAAGCAGAGGTCAGGGTTGTGTGTGTGTCTCCTCAATGAGTTCTTGTATAAATCAACTGACAACTCTGTGATTTATTTTAGAGAGAATACATAGTTGACTCAATAACCGCCGGTATTAGATTAACCGGCATGCTACAGGAATTCAGAGGAAATAGCCCCTCATTCTCATTTGGGTAGAAATTATAGGCAGGAAATTATAGAACATTACCTCAGAGTGGCTTTTATATGGAACTTCAAGGCTGGGCAAATTTTGGAATCATTCTCTTATTTGTATTTTGCATAGTCATAAAAATGTTGTAAAACGTAGATCGGCAAACAAAGAACCATACAGTCTCATAAAATAAAAGAGCCTGTAACTCTACCAGTTAGCAAAAAAAGAAGAACCCATTGTTAGCATTTTCTCCTCCTCCTCCTCCTCTTCTATGCTTAGAACTGAACTCAGAGCCTTGTGAATGCTAATCACTTGCTCTCCTACTAAGGCACACCCCAGCCAACATTAACTTGTCCTGTGCACAGAGACAAGCAACTTTCTATGAAACATGTAATCTCCCCAAAGGTCCCTCAGACATGCTATGCATATGCTACATCTTTATGGAATTTGCTTTCAGATAAGACTATCTCTCTCTGTTTATATCTGAATTAGCAGTACCATTTTACAAACATTTAAGAATTTCAAGTTTTTGTTATTATGGCTACTTTAAATGTTTTAATATGCCTTACCAAATATTTTCCTCAGTGCTTAGGAGTAAATTGCTGAGGGTTTCCCTGATAATGTGTCAATTTGTTCTGAATTTGTAACCCCCATTTAAAAAGATGAATAAATTTTGTTCTTTGATAATTTCATACATGCATATAAATGCCTCTGGCTCCTCTCTGTCCCCTACCCTACCTGACTTCCCCCCTACCACTGCCAACCTCTCTTCTGCTCTACAACTCTCTCTCATATTCATGACTTTTTGTTCTGTTTTGGGTCCCACAGAACTTACCTAGGGCTCTCTGTGTGACCATGGGTTTGGAACTATGCATTAGAACCTCATGGGTTCACAGCTGGATACTATGCTACTCCTTCTTCCAGGATCTGTTAGTTACTAATAGTTCAGCAGTGAGTGGTGGCGTCTCATGAGGCCCCTTCCCATCCACAGCTGACAGTTGGGTGGACCTGTAGGGCTGGTGTCAATCACCCATCCTTTATTTTCAGTATCTGTGCATCCATGTTTCTCCACCTTGACCTCCATTCACTTGCAAAGACAGGCTTACTACCAAGGTCCAGCTATCAAAATATTAAAGTCTAGCAATCAAAAGCCTCCTTTGGCTCACCTAATTAGCATGCCCAATTAAAAGTATACACCTCGGGCCGGGAGTTGGTGGCGCACGCCTTTAATCCCAGCACTCGGGAGGCAGAGGCACGCGGATCTCTGTGAGTTCGAGGCCAGCCTGGGCTACCAAGTGAGC